TAACAACTCTTCGCCATCTGATGGTCTTCCCCAGCAACTTCGACGCCATTCGGAGTGGGGAACTTCATGCACAAGTGCTCTTGGGATATCACACACCTTACTCCTCAGGTCCTCCCTCCAAGGCCGACCTTCCCGTGATGATCTTATGCGCACAAGTTAGGTGTACGACGATGAATTCGACGTTTAACTTGGATACGCAGGGCTCAAAGTCCACCATCACGGGGAGGTGTCATTGTACATGATGTTAACAGAGCTCCCATTGTCCATCAGGACTCGATGGACGATGGTGTCGTTGATCTCGATCTTGATCACCAAGGCGCCCCTGTGCGGCGGAGGCACCAGTGGCAAATCTGCGTCAATGAAGAAGATAAGATCCCTCTTCACCCTTTTGGCGACAGGTGCCCTGGTTATCTTTCCGACGTACAGTGCTCGAGCCCATTGCTTCCGCTCCCCCGAGGTGTCACCTCCTTGGGGTCCCCTGAAGATGTATGAACGTCGATGGTGTTTTCGGGCGTTGTCCCCCAGGCGGCATTGTCTTCCTCAGAAAGGGCGTTGAATTGTTTCTCCTTTGACGTGGTAGCTTGGTCGGACCGCTGCCAAGTCAGGCTCCTCTTCTGCAGGATGTGTCTTTGTTTGCCAATGAATTGGCCTAGGTACCCCTTCTGGACGAGTTCTTCAAAATTGTCTATTATTTGAATCGAGCTTGCCTTTTATAGGCGATAACAAATGGTAACTGCCAAATATACTAATGACTAATTAATTACAACATTAATACAGAATTAAATACATAATTACACAACGCTTTAATTGTTGACCGTTACTCTTCCTAGCTGGCGGGTCGTCCCGTTTGGCAAGCCCGACACTCGAGCTCCTTCCCGCTGGACTGGACGGTTGGCTCCCGCTGAGCCTAGTCCCATAACTCTATCACATACTATATTTGGTAATGCTTGTGTGGCTCTAAATTGTTCATGCTTTATTCTCACTTTTTTAATTTAATACCAATTATATAAGCTTACTTTTCTTAATCGGGTCTGTGCCTGAAATAGGTCCACAGGCCCAATGCATATATATATATGCATAATCTAGTTTGGGCACTTGGTTTTGCTAAATTATAATACACACAAAGTTTAGAGGTACATATTTTAGCTTAGCATAGCCACGGGCCACATAACTACTTAAGCCATGAACTATCTTGGTTTTAATTAGACGCAAACTGCAAACATGTAACTCAGTTGAAGAACACAGCATGTCTGATGCCATTACATTATACGTAGTACTACATTGATAACTAGTCCATACCAATTAACCCACATTTCTTACACTAACACATCTTTTGGTGCTACTTGCTATAATCTATAGCTTCAGCATTATGACATAAAGTATGTTCCTTGCTTTGTGCTATTGGACAAAAATGGAAGGGCACTTGCAAAAACAGGTGTGCCACACAGCAGGCTGCATGTCGTCGCTGGCGTTTCCCATCTCCTGAGGTTGATGAAACACCCCCAGAGAAAACAGTGATGATGATCTCAACCTGTGTTGTCAATGGTAGAAGCAATAGCGTAAGTGTAAATTAATATGGCTTGATGCTTGCGCCTTGTTGGTATATACTTTCCTTACGGTTACGGACTCTGCCCTCATAAATTATCGAAAATGGTATTTGGATTGAGTGGCCGTTTGGTTGTCAGTTTTTTGGCCTATCAACTTAGATTTGTGATCAAATACTGCTTTTTGGTTAACTAAAAATAGCAAGGCTCGATGTTCTCTTTAGATCAAGATGGTCATTTTGATATTTCTTTTTAAAACTGTGTAGTATTCCACTATTTCTATTGCTTCTTTTTATCAATACATTACTTGTAACTATAGTTTTACCATAACCCCAACAATTTGGCCATCACATCAGATGTGTTAAACCTTCCAGATAGGATTAGAATGAATTGTTTGTCTCCAGTTGCACATATCATTAGGATTAGAATGAATTGTTTGTCTCCAGTTGCGCATATCATTAGGATTAGAATGAATTGTTCGACTCCAGTTGCACCTATCGGCAATGATGAATTGTTTCCATTCCAGTCCTGAATAAAGGTTCTTCTTTTGGCGCTGCACCTAAAGATGTTCATTTCTGTTTAAGGGATAATTAGTATTCCCTAAATGACAATATGATCATCAAGTATTACAAATAATGAATTTATAACATCACAGTCATCATCTGTGATCATATTCTTAAAATATACTCAAATTGTCTTATCAATAATTGTTTAAAAACGTATCATTTTTTAATGCAAATTTTAAGTCGATACATCATACATGATGATAGATGTGTTCATAGCGTTGTTAATGAATGAAAGTTGTTGATAATCGATGGTTGACTACTGTACTGTCCCAAATAATAATTAGTTTAGTTAGTAGTGATTAGTGAATACTGACCTAAATAATTAGTTTATATGCGGAAATGCGTAAACAAACTTATGTCCACCTTTAAAGTACTAATTTAACTATTTAAGGTTAAATTCTTTAAAAAATGGCAAGCAAAATTGGACTGTTTTATAATGTCTGCAACGCGTCATCTTACATTTTTTTACAAAACAAAATCCTTTTTCACGCATTTCGTAACTTAATACACTAAATACATTTTCCCATAATCGCGGATTATTTATAAAGTTTTAAAACCTAGGAATTTTATCAATCTCGGACTTGAAAGATAGACGAATTATCAATTCGGAATCTGAAAGATGAAATGTATCACTATAGGATTCGAAAGATGAAAAACAATCAATCTAGGACCTAACATTACATAGGTTTTGATTTATTTAATTTTTTATTAATTCCATTGCTAATATTTGGTGAAATTTTCTTCACAAAAGTTTATTAGTTTAATAAAACTAAATATTATTTAATTTTTTTAAAATAAAAATAATAATAAAATTTATGAAAACATAGGTCCTAAATAGGGATGGATTTGGGCCGGGCCTAGGCCCGGTCGGGCCGCCGGTTCAAGAACAGTGGGCCCGGGACCGGCCCGAGGGTTGGACGGGTCCGGTTCGGGCCGGGCCACCCGCCCGGGTCACGGGTCGGGTCCGGTTCGGGCCGGGCCTGTTAATTTTTTTTTTTTTATAATTTATATTTTATATTTTATAGTTTATAGTTTGATACGAATATTAAAAACAAACTTCAATTGCATTTATTTGAAATGAAATAGGAACTACATTTGAAAATTAAAACAAACTTTAAGAGATAAACATTTTGAAAATTGTAATCAATCGGAACTTCCCGCACCTCCCGATCCTTTGGCTTTGTCACATGACTTCATATGCTTGATTGTCATCCCGAATCCGCCTGAAGCCCCCATAATACATTTTTTTTCGCACCATTTACAAATTGCGTACCACATCCCGGTCTTCGGGTCCTTCTGCTTATCAAAATTATACCGTATAATGGCATTTTGATTTTCCATCTTAACTTCTTGGAGAGTTGGAGAAGAGAATTAGAGAGTAGATATATAATATATTGGAGAATAAGAGAATTAGAGAGTAGAGAGTTAAGAATAGGATTTAGAAAGAATTGGAGAAGAGATATGAAAAAATGTTTAAGAGTAGGAGAATTTATAGGTTTTTTTACCCCCCACCCCCCACCCCCACCCCCTACCAGCCAACCCCCCGGACCCCCCCTTTACCCCACCCAACGGCTATATAGCCGTTTGGGTTGTCCCCAGCCCCACCCCCAAGGCCTCAACGGCTAGTAGCCAAAAATCAAAAAAAAAATTTATTTTTTTAAAAAATAGACCCGGGCCCGGGCCCGACCCGGCCGGGCCGGGTCACAAAAATGATGAACCGAGCCCGCCCCACCCCTTCCCCCCGGTTCGGGCCCAGACCCGGTCCCGGACCGCCCGACCGGGCCGATCCCGGGCCCGCACAGTACCGGGCCGGGCCGGGTCACGGGCCGGGTGGCCCGAACCGAATCCATCCCTAGTCCTAAATTGATAGTTTTTAATCATTCAGGTCCTAGATTGATAGTGTTTTATCATTCGAGCCATATACTGATACATTTCATCTTTTAGGTTTTGAATTGATAGTTCGTCTATCTTTCAGGGTCCGAATTGATAAAATTCATATGTTTCATGTTGAAATTACTATTTTGTTGAAATACACGGAGTAATAAGAAGAAAGCTTAGGTAAAGATATATTTGACTCATCACTTGGGTTCAACGGAATGCGCATTTAGACCACAATGGCACAATGTATTGCCACACTGGAGCTGATTGGATACAAAGTTTAATTCTTATTATTTTATTCATTAACACATACTCATTAAAGTGTATATTTACATTTTTTGTATATTTACATACTCCGTATTAAATAATGTATTTAATGCCCTACACCTGAAGAAAAAATAACTAAGTAGTGCATTTGCATCTTCTACTTTGACTACATTTTATTTATTAATTCATTAAATAATAATTTTTTAAAAAAACATTGTTAAAATTATCTCATTGTAAATTTTCAAATTCTGATTTTTTTAATTTTTTTTACTAATAAAAATTTATATATATTAATGATCAAAGTTGGCATCAGAAAATGTGAAAAGTTGAATGCTGCATTTATTTAAAAACGGATGAAGTTTTAATGTTATTTATCACATGCAACTTTGCAGTCTGCACCGGATAGAAACTAGGCGTGGACTCAGGCCGGGTCGGGCCCGGGCCGGGCCTAGGCCCGGTCGGGCCGCCGGTTTGTATGACATGGGCCCGGGACCGGCCCGAGGGTTGGACGGGTCCGGTTTGGGCCGGGCCACCCGCCCGGGTCACGGGTCGGGCCTTGCGCCGGGTCAGGCCGGGCCGATTAAAGTTATTTTTTATAATTTATATTTTATAGTTTATAGTTTTATACAAGTATTAAAAACAAACTTAAAGTGCATTTATTTGAAATGAAATAGGAACTACATTTGAAAATTAAAACAAACTTTAAGAGTCAAACATTTTGAAAATTGTAATCAATCGGAACTTCCCGCACCTCCCGATTCTTTGGCTTTGTCACATGACTTCATATGCTTCATTGTCATCCCGTATCCGCCTGAAACCCCCATGCTACATTTTATCCCGCACCATTTGCAAGTTGCGTACCACATCCCGGTCTTCGGGTCCTTCTGCTTATCAAAATTATACCGTATAATGGCATCTTGATTTTCCATCTTAACTTCTTAAGTATAAACTATAAAGTAGATATATAAATAATAAATATAATATATTGGAGAATAAGAGAATTAGAGAGTAGAGAGTTAAGAATAGGATTTAGGAAGAATTGGAGAAGAGATATGGAAAAATGTTTAAGATTAGGAGTATTTATAGGTTTTTTTTACCCCCCAACCCCCCACACCCCGGACCACCCTGCACCCCACCCAACGGCTCTATAGCCATTTGGGTTGTCCCCAGCCCACCCCCCAAGGTCATAACGGCTAGTTTGGGGCCCAACAATTTTTTTTTAAATTGGACCGTTGGACCCGCACCCGGGCCCGGGCCCGACCCGACCGGGCCGGGTCAACTTTTTCAGGAACCGTACCCGCCCCGCCCCTTCCAGCCGGTTCGGGTCTACACCCAGTCCCGGACCGCCCGACCGGGCCGGTCCCGGGCCCGCACAGTAGCGGACCGGGCCGGGTCAAGGGCCGGGTGGCCCGAACCGAATCCAACACTAATAGAAACCTAATTAAGGAAAAACCAACCGGTGGGCTAAAATTTCCGAATCAAGAAACGGAGGCCTTTTCTCAGTCGATTTTATGGGCCGAATTAGGTTCTAATCAGAATTACCGTTCAAGATCCCCCAAAATCAGGCAGCTGAATCCATCCAAAACGATCAGAGAAGATGAGTTTGGGGAAGGTAGGAAAGTTCACAAGAAACATCTTAGACCAGAAACGCCGATTTCTAGCGGCGAAATGTGAAGTGAAGAGGAAGCTCTACAAAGCAATATGTAACGACCCTTCTCTTCCGACGGAAATGCGTGAAGAGCACCGTCAGAAACTGTCGGAGCTTCCCAGGAACAGCTCCTTTACCCGATTGAGGAATCGGTGCATCTTCACGGGTCGCCCTCGTGCCGTTTACGAGAAGTTTAGAATGTCTCGGATCGTCTTCCGTGCCTTAGCCAATCAGGGTGCTCTCCAGGGAATAAAAAAAGCGTCTTGGTAGCGCTATCGAGGTATATTGTGATCATAAATCCTGCTTTCTAACAATTTACTCCAATTATTTCTTCACCATACTCATTAGTTCAAATTGTTCGACGATATGTTAATTATGTTTGTTTTCTTTCATAAACTACAGTGCGCATTACATTTACATACAGTGAAAGGATCTGAGTCATGGTTTAATTAATAGCTCTTCTGGGAAAGAAAATGACTAGAATAAAACTGTGGTACTTCGATTTGTGAAATCTAAGGATACAAAGCTTGAATTTGTCAGTTTCTTTAAGATGCCCAGAAGGAACTAAGAACTCTTGAGATACAATGAAGGTGTAAAAAAAATTGACTTAGGCTGTTTTTGAAAAGGTTAAGAACAACTGTTTTCCTTATGGATCCTAACTTCTAAAGTAAGGCAGTCACTTAACCTCCACAGGGAAGTTATCTGTTTGTGAATATGACAGATTAATATCCATTATGAAATTTATCAATGGCATGTTACAATATAACAACATCCAAGCCTTAGTCCTCAAGGTTGTAATTTCGCAGATCGAGGACTGAAATCTCCAACCATGGAATAGACTGGAAAATATCCTTCATCGCCTTCCGGAACCTTTTCCCGGCCAGTTATTTCACAGTACTCATGTTGCTGGAGGTCCAACTCCTCATCCTCCTCAGCTATCATTACCCGCAACTGCTTAAAGGGGCAGTCATGCCCTGGTGTAAATGGTTTCTTACACCTAAAACATAATCCTTTAGCCCTCAATTCTGCGAACTCCTTTGGCGGAAGTCGAGTGAACTGAGAACGTGTCGTAGGCTGCCCGGACAGTCCTGACTTTGTCCTCGGGGGTTGTCCACTATCCTTCGGGAAGCTGCCACTTGATTCCTGTAGGCTGTCACCACTGGCAGTCAACGGAGGGTTCGTGTTTGGCCTTAAAAAGCTACTGGAACGTACACCTGAAGGATTATAATCCTGGCTGTCACTTCCTCCACGCTGGACGGACAGATTGTACTCCACATCACGAGCTAATTCCATGGCTGTCTCCAAGCTATTTGGGCGCAGCAACCTCAACGAACCCCGAACCGGTCCCTTTAGTCCATTCATAAAGTACCCGAGGTAATGATCGTCAGACAACCCAGGAACCTGACTAGCCAACTGGACAAAGATCGATGTATACTCCTCCACCGTCCCTGTCTGCTTGACCCCGGACAATCGCTCGAAACGAATGCCCGTAAACCGTGTGTCAAACCTCGCCACCAGTGCCTGCGTAAACTCTTCCCACATCATGCTAGGTTTCCGCTTCCTTAACCACGTTACCCAGTACAAGGCTGCTCCTTCCATGGCGACTACAGCCGCTGGTACCTTCCTCTCTGGCGGCGTAAAACTCAGTTCAAATTGCTGCTCTGCCCTAGCAAGCCAACCAATGGGATCCGCCCCGTCAAACGAAGGAAGCAACGCCTCTTTCGTGACTCGCGGACGTCGCCCAGAAGCGGCGAAGCCGCCCTGGTCTTCGAAGTCGCCGCCGCTGCTGAAGGTGGCTGCCGTCTCGATTTGCGACGTCATCGCCGCCGCCGAAGCCCCGGACGCCGCTGTCGCCTTCCCTCCAGTTGTGCCTGCTGTCGTGAGCGCAGCCAGGGCGGCTGCGATCTCACCCAGTTGCGCACTCAGCGCATCAAGTTTCTGGTTCATCGAGGCCTGTTCGGCCTCCACCTCCGTCAAACGCTCGGTGTTAGATCTAGTCATTTCGGCGGAAACGGGATTCGGCAGGTCGGACCAATTAATGTGTAGCAGAAAAATAAAATCAACGGGGTGAACCGTTGCCCAGATAATCAATGATAAATAAATACCGTTGCCCAGAGCCAAAAGGCTAAACCAACATTTATTCCAAGATAATCAGAATGAACCCTGGCGAGGGGTATAAATAGCCTTCTACAAGAAACCCTAATTAAGCCCAAATTACTTAAACCCTAATTAAGCCCAATTTAACTTAACTAACCACTCTACTAATAATAGGCCCAACTAAAACATAACGATAAATTTTCTAAATAAATAAAACTATAATCCCTAGCCCAGAACCGGCCCACGGAAGTGAGCCCAATCCCGTTCCTGCCCTAGGTTCTTCTTGCTCTCTATCAGGATCCTAACTTCTAAAGTAAGGCAGTCACTTAACCTCCACAGGGAAGTTATCTGTTTGTGAATATGACAGATTAATATCCATTATGAAATTTATCAATGGCATGTTACAATACAACAACATCCAAGCCTTAGTCCCAAAAGTTTTTGGGGTTGGCTAACATGAATAGATGCATGATACCGGAGCCAAAAGAGAAATGACATGTTACGATGAAGTTGTAAATTCCATTACCTCTTCTTCCATTGCTGAAGTGTGATCATGGCATCAGAATTTCCCAAGATGATTGACACAAATTTTAGTTAGTGTTGTGAAGTTACTCCACACTAGTGATATATTAAATGTAAAATACAAATCAACATATAAGTCACAAGACATTGGACTATTTTTATTAAGTTGACTTTTAAGTTGGAACCCTATTAAGCTCAAAGGAGCAACTATTCGAGTCTTCGACTAAGACTAAAAACAAGCACACAAGACATGAGCCAACATTTTGCATGACGTATTAAGTCATTTCATACTGGTCAAATATAATGCTCCAAGCTAATATAGGTTGATCTTGTAAGATGGAATGCTTAGTGAAATTGTGTTCAAGATCTCATTCATTCCCCTAATATAATATGAACATAAACCTACTATCAGCCATTACATGATCATAAAACAGCAATGACCTAACACTATACGATGCTCTTAGCTGTTTCATTTAAGATTAAGACACTTCTGAATTATGTTTACATGATGAAGAATCACAGCCCACTTTTGTACTAGGTCCATGTTAATGGTGGTCCATTACAAATATTACAGGTGGCTTACACAAAGATCCCACTTTTCTTCCTATTTGCAGTTGTGCTGAAGCCCTTACTTGTCTTGGAGTCCGGTTTTTATTTAAATGCCAATTTTGTTACCCTATGCTTAGGGAGTAAATGAGTCCGACTTGAATTTGGAGATGGAATGTAGCGGTCATATTAACTTCTTCATAATTTGGCAGATGATATTGCAGGAAGTGAAGTTGGTAGCTTCCTGGGGCTAATCCTTAACAGCGTTTGAATCAGAAGATGAAAGTGGAACTCGAACATCTACAGTCTTGTGTTTGTTCTGTCAATTATCAGAACATTGAACAATCTTTGTTTGTTTCTCAAAAATTTAGAGTTAAATTATGTATTGATAAACTAGTAATTTCTCAGATGAATTTTGTTATGCATAGTTGCTACGAAGAAGTGACATCAATAGAAATTGCTACTCATATTTACTCTTCCAAATACTTTCAACTTTTGCATGACCTTTGTCATTTGAGAGAGTTTTGCCTTCAAAGGTTCTAGAATATGACAAGCTGATGTAAGACCATTTGGAGTGGTGGGAGAGTCTAAATAGGGATGGACTCGGGTCCGGGCCGGGCCTAGGCCCGGGCGGGCCGGCGGTTCAGGAATGGTGGACCCGGGACCGGCCCGGGTAGCCACCGGGTCCGGTCCGGGTCCGGGTCCGGTCCGGGCCGGGCCTCCGGTTTGGATATTTTTTTTTTTGCTTTCCTAACCCCCCCCTCACCCCCCACCCTCCCAAACCCCCGAAACCCATCCTACCCATCAAGCCCAACCCGGGTGGAACCCCAAAAATGAAAAAAAAAAAATCAATTTGGCCCGGGCCCGGGCTCGACCCGGCCGGGCCGGTTCACCAAATTTGAGACCTGAGCCCGGACCCGCCCTACCCCCCGGGCCTAGGCCCGACTCGGACCTGGACCCGAGAACCGGGCCGGTCCCGGTCCCACACAGTAGCGGGCCGGGCCGGGTGGCACGACCTGAGTCCAACCATAAGTCTAAATGTCAAAAATGGACTCTGTCCATATGAAAACAGTGTTTTGACTCCTATTTCTCTGCATTCCAGCACCGTCAATAAAATATACTCCGCACATTTTTTTACATATCAATTTAGTAAAACATTAATTAAATTATTATAAGTAATGTTTTTCTCTGATTAATTATAAAATAAAAAAGACACATTTTGATGTAAAAAAAACAAATTTCATTACTTTTTTTACGTTTTTCGATGAAGTGAGTTCAAACACATTGGAGCATTGAATTCTCTTCTCAACTTGTGTGTCTATCCATAGCACATTGGATTCCCTTTTCAACTTGTTGTGTGTATTCATATCACCTTGGATTCAAAATATTAATATAGTTATATAAAATATATTAATATATACTTTATGAATTAAAATGAAATAATGAAGTAGTTTATAAGTTACCAAATTGGCTAAGTTTGACCCACTCGTCGGGGTTACGCTCGCCTTCCGCACACAAGATTTCCATGAAGAACATTGGTGATTGATGATCTTGAAACGAGACTCAATTGAATCCCGACTCCATAGAACGTCACAATTTTGCGAAAATGATACGTAAATTCGGCGCCAAAAACTCTCCCCCGTTTGATTTATGCCAACCGCATCATCTTCGGATATGCTTACCCAAGCGTTGCATAGAGCAACATCCTCACTAACACTCCAATTAGCACATCTTCTTGAGGAAGACATCACAAAAATTTAGATAATAAAGAAAATATGATGAAGAATGAGATAGATGAGAGATGTGTGATTAAAATAGGAAGAAATGAAGTGTTTATATAGGATTTTCGGTCAAAATATTAATTGAAAATAAAGGAAAAATAAAATAAATTATTTTAACTGTTGGATTTCAATTTCAGCCATTGGATCAACTTTTTTCCCATTCAAACAGTGTCCAAATCATCACAGCCGTTGGATCTACCAATTTTTTTTAATTACAAACAAGCTTGAGCCGTTGGAAGTGCCCAATGACACCATCATGACGTCATCATGACGTCATGCAATGAATTAAAATCTGCTTTTGCATGCTCTACTATGGCATCTTTCCTCTGCGCAACAGCCTGTCCGTCCCCCACCCCTTTTACTTTTCCTTTTCCATTTAATTTGAGGGAGTCAATTCCACCCTTCAAATTTGAAACCCTCCATTCCATTACCCACTTTTACTCCCCCAAATTGTGAACCATTACAAGGAATTAGGAGTCCAAAAATTCCACTTTTAGCATTTTGGACTCCTAATCCGACACCACTTCAAGTGGTCTAAAGGGGTTGACGCAGTTTCGGAAGTCAAACCAGTCAACAGGCAGTCAAAATAGGATTGTGCCATGTAATGTTTTTGGTTCTATCGAATGAAATGAGCCACACTTTGAAGGCATGACTATACGACCTGTTGATCCATTCCAATGCAAGTTCAAATGTTCAGTCCTCTCGGTAGTGTAAATTTAAGCTCACATAATGATTCGTCCCAAACAAGAGTTCAGGAAATGAGACTTTTGTATGTTCTATAAATGCAAAATTACATTTTTGTACAAATCAAAGTATTATGTTGAAGTGTTGAACCATTTGCATGTTTGCAAAACTAGACCACCTATAAGACTAATAAATACCATTTTCCTCTCGATTTGAAATGATAAACTAACCAATCAATTGGTTTTTTTTTGCATTCAAGCAAGAGCCAAATACCCATTTTATGCAAAATAGAGCATTACTTGGGAAAAAAATTGATTGTTGATTTATACTGGTACAAACGTTTATATTTTAAAAATGTATACTTTTTTATGTAATAAACTTGAAGAGTGCGCAATGAGAGAGTTTATTTCTGGTATCTTTTTCTCTTACAATAGGCGATATGCAAATCGCACCGATCACGGCTAGGTCAACCGTTTCTATGTATGATGATGATGAATTAGTTTCAAATCCTCGTGATTGTATTCTAGATGCTTTGCACTAGGGATGGACCCAGTTCCGATCCTGGACAAGCCGGTCCCTGATATTAAATGTGAAGACCGGAACCGAACCGAGTTTCAATGGACCCGGTTCCAGTCCAGTCTACGTCTACCTGGCCGATTCCGGTCCGGTCCACCCCAGCGCCCCCCTTAATAATTTTTTTTAAAAAACTAGTCGTTGGGACCAAGACCGCCCAATCACAGTTAGGGATGGACTCGGTTCAGGCCGGGCCCGGTTCGGGCCTTGAACCGGCCGGGCCTCGATTCAATGTATGGGAGGCCCGGAACCGGCCCGGGCAACCCCCAGGTCCGGGCCGGGCCTCAGTTCTATTTTTTTTTTTTTTTGGCTTTTCCTAGTTAACCCCCAAACCTCCCCCTCACCCCCAAACCAACCCTAACCACCTCAAATGGCCCAAAATACCCAGCCCAACCCAAAAACTTAAAAAAAAATGAAAAAAAAATGACCCGGCCCGGGCCCAAATCGGCCGGGCCGGTTCACCTTTTGAAGGGCCCGAGCCCGAACCGAGATCCCACCGGGCCGGGTGGCCCGAACCGGCCAACCAACCGGTTCACCGGGCCGGTCCGGGCCCGCACAATAGCGGACCGGTCCAGTTCCGGGCCGGTTGGCCCGGCCCGAGTCCACCCCTAGTCCCAATTTTGCTTACTCGAGACCGAGTCCGGAAATACCCGGTCAGATATCCGGTCCAAGACCGTGAACGCAAAATAGGACCCGGTCCGGTTCCTGTCCGGTCTAGGACTGCCGAGTCGCCGACCGGGTCCACCCCTACTTTGCACTCTGATTTGATAAGTGATATATATTACGGGGTTAAAAAAACATGAAAAGTGGACTAGCAAGCTCTGTTGTGGGTATCGTGCGTCTTCCGTGTGGGTTCTGTGCACCTACCGTGCATGAGTATTTTTTTCTCCTATTTTTTAAGGAACGGCGGGGTTTTTATGGGCTGACTGCGCCACTGGGGTGAATAAGAATGATATTTCAAAAATATTTAGGACTCGAGGAAAAACTGTTTGAAAAGAGCACAAAAGTTTACAAGTAAGACCAATAAAAATAAAGCCATATAGTACAATTCCCATATAATACACTTTAAACACTTTAACAAGTTGTATCAGTACACAAAATATACAATGAAATAAAAGGTATGCTAGCGGAATCTAGAGGGAATATATTCATCTATTCTAAGGGGATAGCTATAGAACTCCTCGTTTCGGCTATCTCCCTTCCTTTGCTGGAATGGAGCTAACCATGGCACGCCTCGCTCTTCCAATCTATGCCTGGCTTCAAGCGTGTTGTCCAGAACTGTCCCCACTATCATTGCAACACTTGCCGATGAAGAGAAGATTGTATTCAATATGTCATTGAACTGTAAAGAAAGCGAAAAAAACTCATTCACCAGAATATTATGCTGAATCTGTATCCAGTTAGATTTTTTTTGAAGAAATATCAAGTTAGATTTAAAAACAGAAAATAATATAAGTATAAAGGAGTAAGTACCTCTTCCATCCCCAAAGAGAGTTGCATTTCTAATACTAATATTAGAAATGTGACTCTCTTTTTGGACAGAAGGGGTATTTTCTTACCCATCCCGCATGCGTCCTAAGAGGCCCATGCCCGTCAACATCTGTCCGCTTGACGAAGTATTGCGGTATGGATATTCCCAGGAATAGAGACACGCCGAAGACATATATGTTTCGCATTGAGTTGTTATTTGCAAACTGAATGAATGAAACCCCGATTGCAGCTGCAATACATAGCAAGGGAAAAATGATATTTTAGGTAAATGAATACTACGAATGCCAAAGACTAAAGCCCCATTTGGAAAGGGTTGTCTAACTGAAATGGTAGAATCTGTTGAAACTTCTGAAAGGAAAACCGTTTCATAGCCAAAAAGGAAGTCAAAAACTACTTACGGTAATTAGTTTTATTATTTTGCTAATAAGCAGAATATAAAAGGGACCTGAGAGAGTGTGAGGACTCACCAACAATGCCATACAGGATGCAATATATAGCAGCAAATATGGGTAATGGAATAGAAGCAAAGAAAGCTCCAAATTTCCCTGCAATAGGAATCATTCAATGTTTGGTAACATAGTTCACTGATTCAGTTAAAGTATGCTTATAAACCTTTGATATTCATGCAAAAAAAAGAATTTTGAGTCAGCAGAGAGTAAGTCAAACCAAATATAGAAAAGAAGATCATGAAAACACTGGATATCTCCACAACTCTTCTGCTTCCAACTCGAGTTAGTCCGAGTAAGCCAACATTCTCACTGCACATTTTCCCACACCTCAAGTCAGGGAAAAAAATGAATGCATATAGTGTAGACTTGAAGTGTATTATTAGTTGCTTACACCGATGCAGTAGTGCCAACAACACCACCAAAAAACCCATCAAGGAGCTGTCCTAAACCCTGCCCGAGTAATAAAATGAAAAAAATCAAGTAACCACAACATAAACTTAATGTATTTAAAGTCCCCAAAAATTGTGACAACTTGGTAAGAATATAAATAAGGATATGTTTTTCCATTAACCTGAAGGCCAATGCTTCTGTTTATAACAAATGCAGGAGGAGCTGTGGCACCTGCAAGCCTTGATGCTGCATAAAATGTCGCGATGGACTGCAAAGCAGAAACTCCCAAGTCATAAACTCCCCAAAAAAGTAAAACATTTTGCAAATTCTTTATTATCTGTTTTGCAAACATGGACTGCAGACTCATTTATTTATATGTTTGAAGAGCTAAGAAATGTAAGCATAAGTTATTTTCTTGAACCTAATTCTTCACATTTTTAAACATAATACCAAATATAAAACCCATTTTCCTTGGTCATATTTTCTTTCCCTACTGTTTACCGAATTCCAAAGACACTACTAGCCTCAAGACATTTCATTTCAGTAAACAGAATAAAATTTTGACACACGAAAAAACATAAAGAAAAACTTAGAAAGACAGACCTCAGCAGATGTAACAAGGGCAGCACCCATCATTCCAAAAACATGGCTTGCTCTAAATATAGGAGGACCCCACTGAAAAGGATATGGAATCTTGACCCTATACCAAACAGAGCACTTCAGTGAGAATCAGTTATTAGAGTTACAAAACAGAGGCAGGCAGACAGAGAATATGGACACCGATAGTAAGTACCATGGAGCAGATAAAATAAGGAAGGAATGGTCCGTACGGCAACTCTGCTTTGTGATCTCCTTTACATGGTTGTAAGCACCGGCTTCAGTAAGAATAGCTGCAAATGCCCAGACCAGACCAACGCAAACCAGCAAAGCAAATCTCTCCAGCATGGGACGTGCTACTGGATGAATCCGTTGCAGATACTGCAGATTCTGAGTTATTAGTTTTAATAGTTGGCGCATTAAGATATTATTGTTATAAGTTTAATTGTCAATTTTTATTTCATTTCAGTCATATTGGCTGTATAAAATCGCATCCAAGATAAACTCATAAGTACTCTTTTTAACAATTAATACAACCACTCTATCAATGATACAACTTTCTGCATTGTGGTTTTGACGGTGAATTAGTAAATATGAGTGGATAAAGTAGCATTACCTGTTGGAATATAACAAGCAGAACTAGCATAGGCAGCCCAATCTCTACACAATCAGCCAGCTGCACAAGTAGAGGAGAATACACTGTACTAATAAGTAAATAAACCAAGTTAACAAACAAATAAGTTTATGCCAATCCATGCTCCTCTGGTCCTTATTAAGGTTAATGGGAGCATAGGCTATTCAGCACCCTTCCGGTAGGAAACATTCACCCT